TTCCAACACTAATTAGCAGTTGCTTGCAGCCTTGTTGGAAGCAAAAATGTTTAAAAAAAAAAAATGGTTATGGCAACAATGTAAATCTTCCCATATTTAAGAATGGGAATATACTTGATGAGTCATCTACTCGTTGATTTATTGGATTAACTCTTACTTCTGATCTTTCTTAGTAACCATATATCAAATCGATTGCAAAATTAGTATCTGTTAAGGTTGGATTTCTTTATCGTGCTCACCACTTTTTTACAAATCTTTGTAATATCTTAAGGGATGGGGAATGTTTTTTTTAATGGATTAGTAAAAGAAACATAAATATGAAAAAACAAAAAGATATTTAACTTAATCTAAACTGAATTAAGTAAAATAAATAATTTAATAAACAAATAGAAAATAAATTTAAAAAAAGTAAGTTTAAAAAAATTTAAAGGAAAGTAAACTTTTTAAATTACTACTCAATTTAAATACAACTTCCGATAAAGAAAAATAAAGTGAAAATGATTACGTGTTAACAAAAGCATTTCGAATTCGAAAAAGATTCAAACCATTCAAAATAATCAATAAAAATCACAAAGAAAAAGAAGAAAATTAGAAGTAATAAAAAAGGAGAGTTTGATTAAATCTAATTTTTATTTAACTTAATTTTGTTGTATCTTTAATTGTTATTCTTATGATAACTATTATTTTAGTTTGTTTATTCAAACTGCTTAATTTACAGCAAATATTATTATTATTAATAAACAAATATTATTATTGGTGCTATTATATTTACTATTTATAATATTATATCGTTATTATTTTTCATTGTTATTTTATTATTATTTTCTTTTCTTTTCCTTTAAAACTTTACAACTCAATTTCTTCTAAATTTGGCAAATTTTCTTCTTTTATTATTAGTTCTTTCTTATTAGTTTTACTATGACCTCTCAATTTCAGGGAGTATGTATTACATGTACAAAAAAAGTTAGCATGAGTTGCCATGCAACTCAATGTGATATGTTTGTTTTGGACTCATTCAAAATGTAGCAGGCTTTATGACCAACATATGTTGATTGCATATATAAACATCCTAGCATGGATGTAAGCGACTTCAATAATAAGATGTCTGTCCTTCTCCAAAAAATATCTACTGAAAATAAATGTGTCTTTCTGCTTGGCGATTTTACCATACAGTCAAACTTTGACTTTGCAGCTTCTGAGTTTTTTAACTTACTTTTTATAATATTCACTCATTTATTACGCTACCAAAGAAAGTTACTAACCATTCTGCTACAATGATTAACAATATCTTTTCAAGTGTAACCACTAAACAGGAAATATAACAACTTCTATTTTTGATCATCTACCTCAATTTCTTATTTCTCCTAATTTCAACTAACTAGTTATACCATGCAATTATAATTTATACTGCATGAGCTTTAAAAATTATAATAAAGAATCATTTAAATCTGAATTATTAAAAATTGTCTGGAATAACATTACCAATAAAAACGAATTTAATGAACTAAAGTAGTACTTTTTCTTGCGTAAATATTTGTAAATCACCTGTTTAAATATCATCTGACTTGAAGTACATCTCCAGACTATCAACAAGTTTATAAAACAGTATTCAGTTATTTAATTTGCTCATTAATCTTAATGAGTAAACTAACTAAATGAATTTCTAATTTATACTCTAATAAAGCAAACGTGTTCGTTTCTTGCTTACGATCCGTAATAAATTAATCATTTTATTATCTCTAACAATGCTCTCTCTAAAAAATAGTTTAGAATCCATACTAATAATATTACTTCATTTTCAAGAGTTTGTTTAATGAACTTCATTCAAAAATCACATTATGTTACAAGCGTTATACAACGTTAATAAGTTTGTGTGCACAGTCACGCTTGATTTACGCTCTATTTTTGTGTAAATAAGTTAAACAATAAATTTTACGGAGTTTGCAAACCAGTTAAAGTCTATTAACTCTGATTACAGTGACTCCTCAACAATCAGAAATTGTATAAGAGAACAAGGATATAGAGATATAGAGTGTTTCAAAATAAACATTTTTTAACTTCTAAACAAATGAAATGTTGACTGGAATTTGCATCAAAGTGCTCAAAAATACTGATATCATTTTGGAATAAAATTTTTTAGTAAAATGAGTCAAATTACAATCTCCTCTCATTGTATGGAGTCCAAAAGGTGTGGTGAAAAAAAGGAGAAGCTTATAAATTGAGTTGTTTGCGAGGTAGTGTAATGCATGGAGGAGGAAATGTGATGGTTTTGGGGTAGTATGAGTTGAAAAGGAGTAGAGAAATTTACATTTACTAATGGCTAAAAGATGCTTCAATGTATTGTGAAATTCTCCAAGCCAACTTGCCACCATAAACTTAAAAATGGGAAGCAATTTTATACTCCAGTAGGACAATAATCCTAAACATACTGCTAAGAAAATGAAGGTATATTTTGACACAGATAACATCAATGTTTTGGAATGGCCATCTCAAAGTCTGGACTTGAATCATAGTCATAATATAAGATAGTCTGGCCGGTTGGGCTGTTTTTTGCATTTATTGTTTTTAAACAATAAAACTTTATTGTTTTTAAACAATAAAAGTTAAAACTTTGAATTTATGTTGAAAATCGTTTATTTATCGTGCCCAGACTACCAATAAGTGCACAACAAATGGCGAACTCAACAGAAAAACAGTGCTTCAATTATTTCATATTAGAATCAGATATATTTTTTTGTAAACTCAAGTTTATCAATAATTTCAGTTTTTTCTCGTTAAAATTGGGAGTAAAAACGCTTTAACCAAATTTATTTTCACCCATGTATGATAAAAAGCCGAAGCATAAATTCAAACGCTACATAACAAAGCAGCATTTAAATAGTTTCTTTTTAACACAGCAAATTAAAACACAAACTGATACTAAGCAAACGTATTCTACAAATAAGTTCATGAATTTTGTTTAAAAAAGCATTCTTATTGTTAAAAACAATCTTTGCTGCAACGTGTTCTGCAAAGAAATTCATCAATTTTGTTTTAAAAAACATTCTTATTGTTAAAAACGATCTTTGCTGCCTTCCATATATCAGAGATGAGCTTTCAAAGTACATATTTTTAAAAGATGATTTGAAGCTATTATTCAAGTTAATAAAATGAAGTTATAAAAATTATTTATAGTGAAGTTTTTTATCCAAAATTTATAGTTGCAGATCAGAAAGGATTTTTCTAACAGATCCTCACCTCTAGTAGGATATAAACTTGCTAATCATATTTAAAAAGAGAAAAAGAAAAAAATTTAGTTCAATGTTTTGGTTGTTGCATATTTAGTACATTTTATCGAAGAATTCGTTAGTCAAAAAGAAAAGAAAAAAAAACCTAGAAAGGGTTTTTAAACTCCATTGAATGAATATTAGACATTTAATAAATGTTATTTTGATAACCAAAAAATTTGTCAAAAACATTCTAGCATTTGAACTGTATTGCAGTATGATTGAAAGATGCAATAAAGTGAAAATCAAATAAAGTTGTGTAATTTTTTACTTTAAATAATATTATCGTATAATGTAATGAATAAAGCAATTTGTTTAACTACTTAAGTAGTTTAATAATTTTTTCGGGATATATATATATATACACACATACACACACACACACACACACACACACACACACACACACACACACACACATACATACTGATTTTTGCCAACCTTGTTATTATGTTATTATGTTGAATTCTTTGTGTTAAAATTGTGTGCCAACTTGATGTTGACCAAAAATAGTTTAAATTATAAGCTATCTGTTTTTACTGGAGCATATCAGTTTAAATCTTTTAAAATATATTTTTTATCAGTTTAAATATTTTTTTTTTTAACATCAATTTAATGATATAATAAATTTATTTAATGCATTTTAAAACACAATAATTTTATTCAAACTTTACTTATAAACTTACAAAAGAACTTATTTAATGTAAAATTTATATTAATAAAATATACAATAGAAACCATAAGTATGTTTATAAAAATAATAATAAATAGTATGTTTATAAAAATAATAGAAATTTAATGTTTCAGCTGTTTATATTAAGTTTTTTGTTTGTTGCCAAACCTGTTTAAGAGAAAAGTAGAAATTTCAAAAAAAAAATTGATATAAGTAATAAAAATTTAAGCTTATACAGTTTATATTTAAGTTATTAAATAGATGCTATTTTCCATTTTACATTTATTACATAAACATATAATAGAAAAATGATTTATTTACTATATCTTTTTATTGTTAGCAATTTTTTATAAAATAATTCAGAAGGATTTTATGCAACTACCATATCAAACTCATTTATTTAAATTTTAGTTAAAAACATTTTTTTTTTCACTCTTTAAACTTTCTATGCAAAGAACAAGTGACACAATAAAACTTTGTAGATTGCTAAAATCAAACAATATCTTTTAATGCAACAATAGTATTCTTGCAATAATTATAATTTGTCTTGTAACTGCAGAAGATAAATACAAATCTTTTGTAAAATTTAATTTTATTAATCGAATGTAAAGATATATTTTATGCCTGTTGAAGTTTATATCCCACAATTAAACAAAATTCATTTAAATGAATTTTATGTATCAAGAATGTTTCTTAATTTTTTTCTTCTTAACTTTAGCGCAAGCCATAAAAAGCTTGTTTAAACCAGTTTAGAAAGCATGGGCTCAAGCAAGAGCTATAGATCGTCAATAATTAAAAATTTATCAAACATTTATTTTAATGCATTTAAACTATGTAATTAGTAAATTTAAAAACTCCTGGTTTAATACATTGATGAACTTTTCTTAAAGAATGTATTTACAAAAATTGTTAATTTAAAACTTAAAATCATACACCACATGATACCATGGAATGTTCTAGAGTTTTCCCCAATTGAATTACTTATTATGGAAAAGATTTTCTTGTTACCTAGGCATATTTTTAATGAGTTCAATATTTAAAAACATTCGCATTAATTTTAGAGGTTTCACTTAACTCGAAACAATGTGTAAACAGTGGTCTTACTTTAATAGAAGTTCCTGCTCATGTTACAGCCTATGCTGGAGAAAATATATCTATTGAGTGTTTAGGAGTTTATTATTATTGCAGGTTGTTTTTAATCTTTTCATTTAATTGTTCAGTTTAATATCACAGAGTTAATTATTTTTCATAAATAATAACTATATTTAATTTTATATTTTTTTATATACATTTAAGTTTCTTGAAAATTTTAATGCATAGATGCTTTTCATTATTTTTTATTTTGTAGTTTTCCTCCAGCTATTACTTGGTATTATAATTATTCAAGTGTTAAAAATGAAATTCCAAAAGCCAAAGCTGTTCTTCATATTTCTAACAGTAGACTTTCAGATAGTGGTAACTATATTTGTGAAGTAAGAGGATTTGACTATAAACTTCAAACAAATGTAACTGTTTTAGGTAAATATTTTTTTTTGTTAACTGTTTCATTTTAATTGAAATACAAAGTTTTTATAAATTTTAATATAAATATAAATAATTGATACAAATTAAATAAATGTTTTACATTTTATCATGTTTTTAAATAGTTAATACAAATTAAATTAATAAATAAAAAAATTAATAATCAATTTTAAAGATAGATGTAAAAAATGCTTAAAAAAATATATTCAATAATCATATTCTTTTGTTAACTGCTTCATTTTGATTAATTAGGATAACTATATTTAAAGGGATCCCTAAGTGCTCCTAACATATGATCTCATATGAAAGAGCATAAAAAAAAAATATGTAAGTTTTTTTTCTTTTTCACTAAATTGTAATAATAAATGCATGCTAAAAAAAGCAATTGCCGAAATCACTAAAAAACAACTCCATTTTGATTTTATTTTTTCACCATTGAAACTCGATTTTTAGTCGTTAAAAATCACGTTAGTACGTCACAACAACTTTAGAATATCTACTTCGATTTTCAAGTTAAAAAAATCGTGATTAAATAGTTAGTTTTTAATCAAGTTTTTTTAATTAGTTTTGCAAAAACAGTATAATAGCATTCGGTTGAAAGACGTCATTAAAAAAAAGTTATTAAGTAATAGTTTTAAATAGTTTAGAACTTATAAAAAAGTCTTACAGGGCTCGTATTAAGCGTATCACGATCGCGATTGCAACACACACTTTTGTGATTAGTTTTTTCTTAAATCTTTTCGCGACTTATTTTTTTTTTGGTTGATTTTTTTTTTTTTTTTTTGAACTTAGCAATTCTTAAAAGTAATGTTTTTATCATAAAGAACGTCACACAAAATTTATTATTCTGAATAGATAGATAAATAGACGATTTGCTCTTTTGCGCGGAGATTTTCTTTTAACGTAAAACATTTTTGAATTTAAATTACTTTAAATCTCTGCGTGAAAAATTTTTACAAGGTCGTTTAAGCGAAAAGTTGAAAAGTTGGTTTTTATCTTTGCTTATCAAAACTTCATGTTTAAAATAAGGCTTACAAACGTTAGAGCAAAAAAATTACTGACTTTAATTTGCATTTTTATACTGTTTGAAAAAAAAACTAACAAAAAAGAATTAATTGTTATTATTATTAATTCTAATAATTATTAATTAATATATTATTAGTTAATTCTTTTTTATTAGTTTTTTTTTTCAAACAGTATAAAGATGCTAATAAAAACCAGCAATTTTTTTATTTTAACGTTTTTAAGCCTTATTTTAAACATGAAGTATAATTCGATTTATTAAACCAAATTTTTTTGTTTCATCTTTTATTGAAAACTTGAAGTAGAAAAATTGAATAAAAACATCAACCATTTAAATGAAAAACTTAATTATATTTAAACTTTTATTAGTCCTTTATTCAAGAAACAATAAATTATAAAAAACGTGGTATCTAATTTTTTATTAAGTTTTTGACGATGTTTTTTAATTTATTGACGATAATTTTTTCCCCCATTACCGCACATCGGCGCGAGCTATAAAAGAGAGGGGGGGGGAAGAGCAAAAAAAACTTTTTTTTTTGCTCTTTTGCGATTAGATTTTTTTGCGTTAATTCGAGCCCTGTCTAAGTTTAATTTTCTAATAAAATGTCTATTCAACCTTATCAATTTGAACCAAAAAAATATAGCAATTTAACATAAATGTTAATTTAACTAAAACATTTTACAATAATTATTTTTTTTATCAAGCAAAAATGAGAGTAACCGTCACTTTTGAAACCATACAAATTACCGAAAAAAATTTATTTTTCTACTAAGGAAATATTTTAAATAAACTTTCATGTGTCTAAGTCAATATTCATTTGTTTTTAACTGACTAAAAAGAGTTTAAAATTTGACTTCTATTCATTTTTAGCCGTGGAATTGCCCTTATAACACAAATATATAAATTAATATTATAAAAAAAACTTTAATATACAAATATATTTTCACAAAATGCTACAAAACTTATTCTTGTAAGTAATTATGAGTTAGTTGAAAAAAAACGACTTTACTTTTAAATTTAATTACCAACTAATAAGTTTGCAATAATGACATTTTGTCTATTTTGTTTAATTTGACGTACAAACGTTAGTTTTTTGAGGCAGTAGAGTCAATAAACTTTGGACAAGACGCTTTTTTTTTTAATCGAAGAAAAGCGTTTTTTTGAAAATTAAATTTGTTAGTGTGTGTTCATTATTACGTTTTAGAAAAAATAATATACATCAAACATTTTTTTTTTTTATGCTCTTTCATATGATATCATATCTTTATAGCACTTAGGGATCCCTTTAAGAAAAAAAAAACATTAAAATTTTTAAAGATATTGTCAAAGGCTCTAACAAGCTTGTCTTCATCTATTATCTAATAATTAAGCGAATGCAGTTTTGTGTATATAATACGCAAAACCCCACAGTCCTCAGGTCTAGATTGTACAAGTGCTAGCACTATTAATAGTCTCAACTAATGCTAGGATAGTTTTTGTAATATTGGATAAGATTCCAATTACAAATTTGATTCACTAGTAATTGAATTAAAAGTATGAAACAGCTGCAAACTAGAGGCAAGTTTGGTGGTTTGATGATGAACAGCTTTGAGGGCATTTGTGTCTTTCAATAAATAAGGCCTTTATGCTGCAGTATACTATAAAATGTACTCTAAATGAAGTCTAACATATGTGCAGCAAAAAATGCAAACTGTGTCAAATGTCTTATCTTTAAATGTAGTTTAAACATTAGGCAATTGTGAGCAGACATTAGAATGCTGTGCACATAATTTGAGTTTGATCTGGTTGTGTCACATAAAGCAGTTTGAGTCATAACAATGATATCTCACTAGAGGATTGAGAACCAAATAAAAAATGGTACAGCGGATTCATGAAAAAATATGAAAATGAAATTAAAGCAAGAAAAGTTAGTGTCATGCAAGCTATTAAAGCTACACAGCCAAAAATAATTGAAGACTGTTATGTCCAAGCCTAAAGAAACTATTTTCCACATTAATTAATTTACAAATGAAAACACAACGAAGCAGTTAATCTTGCATTGTTAGTGTGATTGTCATCTTTTTATGGAATTTTTTTTTCTTTTTTTTTAATTATCTTCGCTTCCAACAAGGTTGCAAGCAACCACTAATTAGTGTTGGAAGTTACTGGAAGAGAAAAGATGAAGATTGTAGAGCAAGATAACGATTGACAGACGACTTAAAATATTGAAAATTATATGAATCAGGAAAGCAAGATGAAGGAAGCGAATTCCAAAGAACTGATGTTCGAGGAAAAAAACTAGACGAATAAGAGTTTTTGGAGCACTTAGGAACAGTCACAGAAAAAGGATGAAACTTAATTGAATGACGAGTAACAGGGGAATGAATTTTAATAGATGGCACAAGAGACGCTAGCTCTTTAGAGCTGTGCCCATTATAGTATTTGTAGAAAAGATAAAGAGAAACAACATTATGATGATGTGACAAAGGTTGAAGGTTGGCAGCAAGAGCAGGTCCAATTATGTTTACAATGTGTTTTTGCACCTTGTCTAAAAGAGAAAGGGCATCATTAGATGATCCGCCCCAGATATGGCAACAGTATTCCATACAAGACCGGATTTGAGATTTATAGAGATAGAGAATAGAATCCAGAGAAGCAACTTTAGCAGATGCTAATTTTGCAACGGATTTGATATAAGGTTTCCAAGAAAGATCAGAAGTAATAATTAATTGAAAGATTACATCATTACTGTATTGTGTCACTAAAGTATATCTTTAGTATTAAAAGATTGTTATTCATTTAATAATGTTTTACATTAATAAATTTGTTTCACTATAAACAAACAAATGTAGTTAAGTTTCTTAAGTTATTTAAAAGACAATAAACTTTTAAGATGTTAACCTATGTATTTATTTCTTTTAAAATAATAAATTAAGCATATCAATACATAAATAACTTAAATAACATAATAACAAAATAATAACAAAAATAACATAATAACAAATAAAATTGTTAAAAAAAGAGTAGTACTTATCAATATTTAAAATAAGTTCATCATCAGCTTTTAAATATTTTAACAGTCTGTTTACATTTTAAAAAAATTTTTAATAATTTTATTAACCTCTCTAAGGCCAAAAAGGCAACTTTATTGTGTTTACAATTCAGTCTCAACTCTTTAACTCCGAAATGCAAACCTTGATGAACAATGTTGCTGTGTGGAAAAACAAAATAATTTTGATAATTATCTGACATTTATTTTTTACTACTTTAAAATACTTTACTTCAGAAAAACTTTACTGATTTAAAAATGAAAATTAAAAATAACATAACAATAATTACTTATAACTTTCTTGGTTCTAAAAAATGATTTAAAAATTGCATTTACATAAAAAATATATGTGATTGCTGTATTGCTATGCAAACTTAATTTTACAGAATAAAAATTTTCCGGTCTCGGCGGGATTAAATGAGCACAAGAGTTTAGAAAAGCATTCCTAAAACGAACTAGAAGAGCTGTGCGAGCTGCTCCTCATTTAAATTGGCGCTCTTTTTTAATTATAATTTTTTCTTAATTAACTAAGCTTTTTAAAAACAATTACAGTATATTATGGAATTAATTTTTTTTAAATGACATTGTTTTTTTTTAGTTTTAATGATAATTATACTTTCTTGAGAAAAGTTATACTTTTGCAAGAGCCGTAAATTGCTCTCGTAAACTGTTTTAGGGGAGTGTGGGCTAAAACTCTCACTTCCCGCCAAGGCCTGAGTTTGTGTAGTCTCATGAGTATAATCTAAACTACTCTCAAGTCAAGAAATAGTTATCGACTCTCAAGAAGTATTTCTGCTTGAAATTTTTTATTCTTTTATCTATGTAGTTTTACATGCAAATGTATGAACTAATATTGTTGCTTAATATTGATTATTATTTTTTAGTTATTTTTTTTAATAGTTAATTATTTAACAGTTATTTTTTGTTGTTACTTTTATATTCGAT